TTTGTTTATAATCCCATGCCAGTTACCTCCCACTAGCCACCACCACCATTCACTGACTACATATGAACCAGGCACTATACCATGGGCAAATACAGTATGTTTCTTATGTCTTAAGAAATCATACATCCTGTAAAGAAAAAGGGATATGATGGGAAGTAATTATAAAATGCTGAGCTTTAACAAAAATAAAAACAACAAAATGTCATTTTTCACTTAAGTATCATCTAAAATGTGCACCCTGAAAGAGAAGATACCTACTAAGAAGGGCTCTCAGTGGCTAACTGAGCTCAAATTTAAAAAACTGAGCCTAGCAGCCATTTCTACATAGGGACCTCTCCTGCAAATTGCACTTCAGTGAGAAGTCTGCAAAGAATTGCCTGCCTGCACCGTGGCTCTTGATATCTGAGCCAGCCCTTCCTTATAAAAAAGTTCCTGGAATTGTATTTCAACCAACAGAACCTAGGCGTTCCCCATCCAGTAGGAGCTGCTCAGTTATATGCCCATCAGCATTTTACCAACCAATCAGAATGGCTTCATTTTAACCAATCAGGACAGTGCTTACTGGACCAATCAAACTGCAAGGATTTGAAGTTCTCATTTACATGAGGATGAGCCAATCAGGGACCAGGGGCAGGGACTACTGTTTATATAAGTCGGCTGCCAATGGCATAAAGAGTGCACTTTTCCTTTCTACCCAAGACTGAACTGCTGATGGTGAACCATCAAAGACATCAGGACAGGTTAGTCTGGTGGGAGAGGGGCCTTGCCCCAGAGCTATTTCATAGCCATACTTCTTTTTAACTGGGCTGTATCATTGATGGAGCTACTTGCACTGAATAAAGTTTCCTTCTTCACTGCACCCCAAACTGAGGATTCCTGTTGGTACTGCATTGACACCAGTGACATCTAACAAGTACCTTGCTGGGCTGGGGTCTAGAAAATTTCTTAAATCAGTCACCACAAGTGTGAAATTTTTTTGAAGTTTTATATATTCATGCAAGTTCTATTATAATCTACAAGGTATCAGAGCTATTTTAATATGGTTTAAATTGTGTAACACTAAAATAGACTAACTTTTCAAAAGGGAATCTACTATAATGCAGAGACCAGAAATTCCCTAACTCAGCAAACAAAAACAATCACATACACTATTAGTACAAGACTACATTATCTAGTCTCTAGTATAAGAAATTGAATGGCTAATTACTGTACCACATTTACTAAACTGTCAGCCTCTAGAAGTCAGAAATCATGTTGCAATTTCTACCACTAGTGCCTGGGGAGACAGGTTTGTTGCAGTTAAAGACTTCTTTTTAAATCTTACCCTAAAAAAAAAAATAATACCTCGCACCTGGTAGAAGTGCCATCTTCCAATAAGAAAGAAAATATGCCTTTGGTTTTCACACACACACACACACACACACACACACACACACACACACACACACACAATGGGCTGTATTCAGTCTGGTTAAAAACATTCAGCAGCTATAACTGCACTGGGAAAGATTCACAATAGCCATTTGCTGGCCTATAGGGGAAAAAAGCCACACTTTTCAGTCTAATTCCTGACAAAAAATCTAACTTCTATTTAGTCAGTTAGACCAAGAGATAAGCTCATGACACTACATTCCTGACTGAGACTTTTATCTTTGAATTTAGTAACTGCTTCCCTTTGCTGTGTCTCATTTGCATAACTGACTGTACCACCTGGTTATGTATTTTCACTGTCCTCTCAAAACATTCTCCCTCAAGCCAGTACCTTATGGCATATGTCATATTTACAATTTATGTATATGTAAAATGAAGTATGTGAAGAAATACTTCTTTAAATATTCAAGTATTGGTATAGTTTCCAATCTATCTGTAGATTTTACATGAGCTTAAAGTTTCCCTCAAGTCCTAGGCAAAGACTCAAATTATTTTAACTAATGTTGAAATCTAGTTATGGGTATAGATACACATGCATTGTGAAACTGCTATATAGATAACAAAGATTCCAAAATTAGTATAAAATGAATAGACTTAAATATTTTTGAATTTTTAAAATTGTATCAAGGGGAAATATTAGGCTTTCCACTGCTTTTTTACATGCTCTGTAATTTTATTTTCTGGATTCTAGAGTTATTTTAGCTGATACTTCCAATTTGTGAAAAAAAACAAAAACAAAACAAGGAAGTTTGTGGTCAGAGCTCAGGCTCTAGAATCCAATAAATCTGAGTTCAATTGTAGACTCTAACAATAGCTATGTGATATAGGGCAACTACTTAACTTCTCTAAGATTCAGTTTCCTTAAGTGTAAAATGGGGTTAAAAACTAGAAATTAAGATGAGAATGACATCAGATAATTTACATAAGGTGCTTAACATAGTACCTGGCATTTAGTAAAGTCTTTTATCAGTTTTAGTACTATAATGCTTGTTGATCCAAGCAACGTTTAAAATATAAATATTGCAAAAACACTAAGCAGATAAGAAAGGAAGGAGACACTTTACTTTTTGATAAGGAAAGCTTTCAAGAGAATGAATACCAATAATTAGTACACAATAATGACGCATCATCCATTCAAGTGCTGCTGGCATTGTCCTAAAGTGACACAAAACACACTAGCAAGGTTGTGAATATGAGAGATGTGTCTATTTTATTGGAAAGTGACTGGTATAATTGAAGTTTCCTTCGTGCCACCTGGACAAGATATATAAGAAGAGAAATAAGGTAATTTTCTCCAAGCCTACAGTCTCTCCTAACTCCACCTGCCAAATCAGTGGAGAGGTCTACACATGCCTGTGCCTCCAAACAAAATCTTCAACGGACCATGAATGAATCTGACCCTGGGCAAAACTTATTACCTCTGTGAGCCCGAAGGTCCCCACTGAAGAGTGGGTAGGGCACTGAGAATCGGAACGTATGCAATTAAAGCAACCAACACGGTCTTGAGAGACAAGCGCAGGATAAATTCTAGTTACCTCTTCCCACGCCCCAGGGGTGCGGGTCTAGTTCAAGCGCCCGAAACAAAGACCTGGTTCCTAACGCAGCGCGGTCTTCGAAGTGCTCCGTACCCCTCCCATGTGGATCCAGTGGGCGGATGAACTAATAATTTTTTGGTTAGAAATAAAAACTTTTAAGAAAATAAGCATTTGCCATACTGAGAAGACGCGATATCACTCCTTCCTGCTTTGGTCACCCAGGCCTGCCCAGACTTCACCTCTGACTCCCTCGGTGGACTCCGAGGCCCCTCCTGGGCCGGACCGCTCTATAAAACGCCTACCTGACGCGAAGCCATACGCACAGCCACCCAACTTGAAGCTGGACCGCGAGCAACCGGTTATACCAGCGGCTCCTGGCGCAGGCGCACTCCTCACTTGGGGGCGGGGGGAAGCCGTGACGTTATGAAAATGCTGTGCGCAGGCGCAGTTCCACTTTGTGCTAGTGAAGCCGTGACGTCATAAGAATAAAGTGCGCAGGAGTACCAGGATGACCGCCCACCTTGCTAGGCTGCAAAGAGCCTGAGGGAGCTCAGGTAGCAGTATGTCTGAAAACATGGCTCCAGATACCGTCCCAAAGCAGCAGGTGCTTTTTGCAAGAGGTTGACTCATGAGTGGATTTCGTCTCTGAGCGAGACCCAAGAACACTTTGTACATTGGCTCCTTACTTAGACCATGAGCCTGATCTCGCTCTCTGCTTAGCTCGCTCATTAGCAAGTGACAGCTTTTCAGTTCTGTTCCCTGTATGTAAACAGTGGTACCAATACTCGTCTTACTGGTTGTTTGTGAAAGCACGGGTTGAAGAGGGCATCTTCCCTCCCCAAACATGTTATTTAAATGGAAAAATTGGCTTTTGCAATATTGTCTAAGGCTGTCCGTTGCTATTTGTTTTTCATGATGGTACAACTTGGATATGTGTTACCGCAACACAAAAATAACAATTCATAATAATACATAATATATAATTCATAATATAGACATAAACTGTTGCATGACCGGATCTGTTCAAGGAGTTAGTTATTAGGCAAACTTGATTGAGCACCTACTATAGTAGTTTCCCTAGGTATACAGGATTGAGAGTTGAAAACAAAACCAATTCTTATGTTTCAGGAGCTGTTGATTTCTACCAATACTTTCTTTTAGCCTTTCTAATATTTGGTTCAAAGGGAATCAAGGTGTTTTCATTAAGTATCTTCTAGCATTGCTGTGATTATTAATTTATGTAAGCGGTCTACCTTAGTCCATGGCCCTTATTAGGTGATCAACAACGGGAAGCTTTCATCATAAGTCTTGGCTTTGATCCGGAGCTTTCCATCTGGTAGCAGAAATCAGCAAGTTCTGCGTATATAAAACAGTACAGAGAATAAAGAATGACCAAATGGTGGTGGGGTTTTTTTCATTTATCTGTAAATAAGCAACCCAGTACAATTCAGTGAGGCAGAAGTTGATAATGAAGCTAATGAAGCTCCAGCTTCAAGGGCCCATTTTCGAGGCCACTGAGAGTAGCCCTAGCAATGTTCCCATAGTCCTGTGCTTTTGCAAAATTTGCAAAAAATAATTTTGCATTATTTTTCTTTAAAATGACCCTCTACATCTTCTAAGGTTCAGGCCTCACAAAACCTGCATCTGCCCGCGATGGTCCACTCTGACACAGTAAGAGACGGCTGTGCTGGGAGAAGACTAAAAAAAAAAGTAATGGTAAAGCTTTAAAGTACAAGAACTCATTCCCATACCCCTAACAATTGTATAAGGCAGACGCACTTTCTTCTATAAGAACTGCATCCAGCAGAGACATCTGGTGGACTCCGAGGTCTCGCCACAGAAGCTTCGGACTTGGGGAAGGAGTCCTCACAGTGCCCCGAGGGCGAAAAGGCAGCAAGATAGCTCACCGCAGCGCAGTCAATCGAGCCCACCAGAATGACGCGAAATCCTGCGGCCCAGAACGGACCTGTTTTGTCTGTCTCGGCCACCGTTGCGGGGGACTCCCCAGACCGCAGTTTCTGCGCATGCCCAGGATGGGGGACCGGGTTCCCACTACTGGGAGAAAGGTGGAGAGCAGGTGATGTGGGAGCCGGCCGTGGCATTTGCTGGCGACACCGAGTTTGGGCAGGAAGTAGAGGAGTCGAGACCGGCGCCGCAGGATCTCCGAGCTAGACTGTGGCAACAGCGGTGGCTCTTCTGCTGGAAGAGGACGATGAGGAGCGACGGAAGCGGCACGGCGGGACGCTGCTGCGCGGCGCTGGGTTGCGTGTTCGCGACGGACTGCGCAGCTTGCGAGCAGATCTAAGTAAGTGGTGTGGATCCGCGGAGTCCGCTCCCTCCAGTGGGGTCGCGGGGGACGTCCGGCGGGGGCCTCTCCGGTGTCCTGGTCCCGAACCACCTCCCCGGGAGTGCGGGGCTGCGCGCCTAGGGCCGTGCGAGACCCAAGTCTCGCCGCCCCGGCCGCGGAAAGGAGTCCATTCCGCAGCTTTGCTAGCGCGGGGGAGAAAACCAAACGAACGCCCATGGTGGAAACTGAGGCGCGCGGTTTACCGAAGGCCCTTTGGTGCCCTGTTGGGACTGGTGCCTAGAACGTAACTTAGAATCATATGTCAGTGGTATTTCCAGTAACGTGTACAAACCAATACGTAGCAAATCATCCCATCCCACCCCCGCTCGCCCCCACACAGGTGAAAAGTGAAAAATCCCAGCTCCTAGATCTGAGGAATAAAGTAGCCCTGATCCATTCACGTCACTAACAGATTTAGACCTGCGAATTTCATGGCAGGAAGTTTTGAGTGTTTAAGAAACAGCACAAGAACACTCCCATACAATTTGTCAGTTTTGCTCTGGATTTTTGTCAGCATTTATTTTCTGCAAAATGCATTATTATTATTACGCAAGGTCTCATAATCAAGGACGTCTTTTATTCATCAGCTTTTACATGTTTGCTATGCAATAGTAGCTGAATAGAAATACAGAAGAGGATATGGCTTTAAGTTTTGATGTTTGATTTTCATCGATCTTCTGGTTTCTTTCAGCATGGATTAATACTTATTTGTGCATGCTTGGATTAATCACATATCGTTTCCTGAAAGCTTAAATTTTATACCACTTAATTAGAATTCGTGTTTGTCCATCGTGTTATTTAATAATTATCCTAAGACGTCGACTGCCCCAATTCAGTAATTGTTATAGAGACTTACTATGTGCCACACACTGCTGTCTACTAAAAATAAGAGTTGAAATGAGATGAAGTCATTGTTATCAAGAAACGCAGTCTATGTAAAGCAGATGAGTTACACTATAAGTGCCATCTCGTTAATTTGTACAAACTACAGAATATGGAATGGTTGGCAGTAGGGAGTAGAGGTCCAAGGAATGCTTTCTGAAGGAGCTGGTACCTGAGCTGGGTTTTAACAGAAAAGAAGCCATTGCCCTAATTATTTCCTATGTGCAAATACTCGGTTTTTATCCAGAGATCTTATATATTATTTAATCCAAATCTAACAGAACTTCTAATTGTACTTACTTTCACTTTGCTGTAACAGATAATAAAATACCCTAAATTTTGTCCTTTGAAAGTAACTGCATTTATTAATATTGTGTATTACATTTGACCTCAGCAGTTTTTCAATTACGTTTCATCCCCCTTTTACATATGAAGAAACATATACTTAGAGAGGATAAGTGAGTTGGCAAAGCCACCTAGCTATTAACAGACCGAGTCCCAAAACACTCTCCACTGCACCACATTGCCTCCCATTGAAAATTAATTTGGAATGTTGGAAGCAGGCAAGTTTATGAATATCTGTACAAACAGATTTAGAAACACCACCAGCCTTCTTGGGCACACCTCAGGCCTCTTGCTCTCTGAGGATTTATTAACCAAGTTGTCCTGGATTAACAGTGTCATTTTAACCGTGGGTATAGGGAACTGTTCAACCTAACATTTTTCTATGATCTCTGCTCTCTTCTATCTCAGGGGAATTTATTTCCGTTTCTCTGTTTTTCATTAATTCAGAACTGAGAGATTCTAAAATCTAATTCTTGTTTATTCACCTCAACAATGTCCGAGATTCTTACATACTCTTTTTATACCTAAAGAATATACCTAAAGGAGATTCTAGTTCTTAAAATTACTAAGATTTTTTTCCCTCAGATGATAGACTTCTAATAAAGTATTACATTTTATGTTACTGTTTCATATAGGTGTTAACTCCTTCAGCAGTACATTGTATTGGAATTGCAAAGGTGTAGTATTTCCAGAACATGAACTAGAATTCATGTGTTTATGAGCTGGGCTGAGAGTCTTACTTTTTCTGTCACATTGACTTTATAAGAAAATAAATTCTAAGTTTCATCTATCTCATTTACAGTAAACTATAAAATTACTCCTTTTTAAGAGGGAAACTTCCTGAATTTCATTATCAGTCTTAATTCTAACATCTGTTTTGCATTTTCAGCCTTGTAGATTTTTTTTTACCATTTTTTTCTTATAGATATTTATAATCTTAGAATAAATTGTGATTGGCTTCCATAGTGACAGTAATCTGTCATCTTTTTTCCTGTGAGAGTCGACTATATTTGCCAAGTCTTCCATTCTTCAAGTGAAAGGGAAAGCACAGAAGTGCTACTACATTGCTGTCTAGTATAATGTTCGACATATCTGCTCAAGCAGATTTAAATTCCAGTTTAAAATGCTCTGAACTATTCAATTACTATCCAACATTTCCATAGGCAGTTATTGTTCATTTGTCCCATAGGACTGTTAATACACACTGTTTCATTATTAATGACATGTGGATAACCATTAGGGAAATAGATAATTCATTCTGTGGTGTCTCCAGCACACTGATAGCAGTTTTTTGTGTTTCCGTTTCAGTTATGCAGCTGGCATGGTTTCTTAACTTCCCAGTGCTTAGTAGAAAAAAAGATATATTTGTGTAGGAATGCTGAATCTGAGTTCTATATTACTTGAAATGTTTGGAAGCTGTGAATTCTCCCAGAGTCCTTAATGAGCACCAAGGGATACTCATTCTTCCTGTGATATAGATGTTAGCAATGACACATGAATTTGTTTTCCATTTTTTACAGTCTTCACTTGAAACCTACACATTTTTCTGTCACTTGTGGGTATGTTTTTTAATGTATAAGCAGTTTTTATTTTTAAACAAGCCATTCCTAAAATTATCAATTTGAGGTGGACGTAAGGGCCTTTGAAATAGTAGTTACCTTATGACTTAGGATTTTTTTATTTTATTTATAGTTAGTTAACCTTTCGTCAAATTGTTTTGGGGAATTCTTATTTAATGCACGTATAGGTAAAAAAAGATTTCACCTATACAGTTGGCAGAATCAGTAAATCAGTATACACTGCAATACAATGTAAACTTTTGCAATTAAAAAATAATTAGAATAATTAACATTTACATATTTTGATGAGACATTTCTGACCTTCATTAAAATATAATTTGTGATTGAAAACTTATTTGTCTGATTTACTTTGCTAGTTAGTGGGGCAATAACAGTTAAAATGTTTCCATTTCTGTAGTTTGAGTTTTAGTTCTTGATATATTTAAGTTGTTATTCTTTATTTTTAGTTTTGGATGAAATATTGCTGGGTAAAGTGAATACCAACATCAGTGGAAGAGCTATAAAATTCATTGGCAAGGAGGAAGTTGAGAGTCGTTGTTACTCTAGACTTGGAATTAATCTTTAATGTACTGTTTGTCATTTATTTCTTATTGGAGAGAATAACCTGAGTTCCATTAACAAAGCAAAAGAAAACACTGCTGAGTTCATGGAAACGCAGGAGAGTTCCTAGTATATTTATTTCTTGGCTTTTCTTTCTCCCCTCTCATTAATTACACACTCCTAAAACATACTATGCCTGTTACGCATAAAGATTGTTTAGCCAAAGTTATTTTCTACAACTTTAACTGTGTGCTCTTTAAAAATATATTGCTTTGATAATAGTGGTCTGGGAAGGAGACCGAAAATGTATGATGAATAAAATATTTTACAAACCTCAACTGAAACACAAAATTACTACATCTGTGCAACAGAGATTTATAGAGACCTGTTTTTAATCTTGGGTGCATATTTACGTCTCTCACTAACTTTTCAATTACTGTTAAAAAAATCACATAACCAGGCCACCAACCTTTTAGTGTAGTAGTTGGTAAAGACAGTATTATTTATCAAATGCTTGTTTTCCAACTCTACCTTTCATTTTTCTATGGCCTGTAAAATATGTGAGACCTTAAGAGGTTATTCGGGTAACCTCTTTGTTTAACAAAGGTAGAAATTCAGATCCAAAGTAAACATGTGAGATGCACAGATACCCATTCAAAATGGGTCATACCACATTTAAATGTGGACTTGGTTAGTGATCTGAGAATATAGGAAGCAGCACTCACTGGGTAAAAGCCTCACTCAGGCCCTAGCCCAGGCTGAAAGATCCTCATTCAAAGTTTGTTATCTGTCTTAATGTTTATGATCTTTGGGAACCTGAAAAATGTTAGGTTTTTATTATAGCTAGTTCTGTTCCAGCATCTAACAAACTTTAGTAACCTGTATAGATTATAATGCACAAAAGATTTAATGTAGTACATTATTCATAATTTGAAGGAACAAGTCTCTGGGAAAGGAAGACAAGGTTATATAGTTAGTATAGAACAGTGGTTATCAACCTTTTTGTTTTCAGAACCCCTTTACATGTTTAAAAATTATTGAGGACTCCAAAGAGTTTTTGTATATGTGAACTATACCTAGAGATATTTATTGTCTTAGAAATTAAAACTGGGAGTTCATAGAATACATAACTTTGTCATTTCAAAATAGCAGTAAAAAGTCCATTACATATTAATATAATAGCATGTTTTATGCAAAGCAACTGTCTTTGGGGAAAAAATGAGCAAGGATTATGGTATTGTTTTACATTTTTGTAAATATCTTTAATGTCTGCTTGATAGAAGACAGGCAGATTTTCATGTTTCTGCATTCTCATACAGTAGGTTTAGGTGAAATATATGAAGAAAATCAGGTTCACACAAATTTGTAGTTGTAAAGGAAGAAGTATTTTTATAGTCTTTTCAGATAATTGTGGATATTCTTTGATACTATAATATTCAAAAGGTGGTAGTTTCTTAAAGGTCAGTTGCATTGTGGCATCTGAAACTTATATAAAGAACTTTTTGTCTCTTTTACATTAAAATCTATTGGTTTATCTTATAATGAATTTTTTACCCATGCTTGATTTTGTAACATGCTTTTAGAAAATTTCTTAATTTGTCTTGTCGAGCA